CTGCTACTCTGGGTGGGCCTGAGTTTCCTCTCCTCACCTAATCCCTTTGGCTGATTGCTCTTCTCTCTGGCTTCCTGGCTTTTAATCCCCTTTCTTCTGCTCTTCCTGCCTGCTACTTTGGGCGTCCCTGAGTTGTCTCTCCTCACCTGTAACCCTGGGGCTGATTCATTCCCTTAATCACATAGAATTAAAACAGCAATCAACAATAACAGAATTTTAAAATCTAGATATTTGGAAATGAAGAAAGAAACCCACACACAAATCAGGATCATAATAAAAATAGAAAATGCTTAGAACTTAAAAATAATGAAATTATCTCTACTGAAATTGAAAATTACAAAACATTTGATTTCATTTGAATAATCCTGTGAGTGACATGGATTATTATTACCATATCATCTGTCCTTAATAGCATAAATATAGCAGAAATATTACAAATTATGTAATTATTTTTTATGTATAAATAAAATACATAATAAAAGTGATTTGGAAATGGGAATAAAAGGAAAACTGTTTACCCCGGGGAGGAAAAATCAAAAGGAAGATGAACTGACTTTTAGAAACTATACTGAATAGCTAACCAAGTTACAAAGAAATAATTTAATATCTTAATCTTTAAAGGTTAAAAAGTCCATCCATTCATTTAGGTTTAAGAAGTCCTTCAAATATTTATGTAATATATACAAACATATAAGGTAAAGTATTTATTATTTATATGAGATGAACAAAAGCTACCAGAAATCTTTGCTTGTCAAGCTATATAATCACAAATTAAGAGTATATTCCTGTCCAACCACAGTCTTGATTTCTTGGGTACTGCACATGTTCAATGGTACACTGGCAACTAATGGCATTCTAAAACCTACCTATGATACAAAGGGAATTTTCATTTAAAGTTCCCCTCCTTTTTCACGTGTGGGATATTTTTGGAATTTTTTTTTTTTTTTTGCTTCCATCTACTGAAAGAGAATTAAGAAAATTCCAACATGCCTTGGTGTCAGCAAGTGTTCTTTTTAAGTCTAGGTACCAGAGGATGATTGATGAACCTGTCAAGCCTACAGTAGCGCATAGAGAAAGTTGGCAGAAGTTCAATGCTATTGAAAGAAATCTCAAATACTTATTTCATCTCCTCTATTAACTTTAATCACATTTTCAACATACAGCCAAGAATGAAGCTTTGACAGTAAGCCATACACTTACACAGGCAGGCATTGTCAATTTTGTATAGTCGCAACGCTGAGATAACACAAGAAAGTTGGATACTTT